GAGGGAGGAAACGGAGGGGGTTCCGCTAGGAATAGGGTGGGGGACTGGAAGACAGCTGGAGACAGCCTGGAGGTAGTGAGAAAGGCCAGAGGGAGACCAAGAGTTTTCAATAGGAAATGGGAGACACCACCATGAGATCATCAGCCAGAATGAGAAGGGGAAAAGGCCAAAACAACAAAACCATAGAAACATTTATGGGAGGGTAGAGGAGGACAATATATATATATCCCCAAAGATCATCTGGGCACTAGGGGTGTCTTGGAAGTGAAAGCAGTGGTGCTTCAGGAAGGGAATGGTTTCACCAGGGCAGAAAGCTCTAGGTCTCACAGAGAGCGGAACGATGCGTGATGAAGGTGGACGGACACCTGGGGGTGGGCAGCTGAGAAGAACAGGTGAAGAATGTCATCACTGTCAACTGAATTGGTGTGGGCTTGGCTGTGTCTATTGCCAACAACAATACAAATAGACGATTTAAAACAAGTGACCCGGGGACAGTGATCTCAGTTGAGGGCAGGCATGTTCGCTGGTGCAGTGAGGAAAAGACACTGGCGGACTGGAAGCAGAAATCAGGAGCCAAGTGTAGCCCACTCTTCCACAAAGTTCCGTGGGTACGCAAGGAAACTGGGCGAGGCTGGAGCATCCGGAGTGACGGGGAGCCCTCCTGCGCCCAAGAGAGAAGGCAGACGCGTCCCTTCTCGTAGTCCATTCACAAATTTAGCTCGTTCTCCCTTCACACTAGCTCATCAATTAATCTGCTCCTTTCCCATGTCCATATTTTGCCCGGGTCATTGTCACAATCCCCTGACCAGGTCTCGTTTCCATTCTTGTTGTTTTTCACGCTTCTTCCTCAGTTTCGAGAACGAGCCCACCGTGTACATGGCTGCTAACACTTCAGTGCTTTCACTGAACTTGAAGTGAACCCTAACCTGCTCGCTAGGCATACTCGGCCCCTCCGTGATCTGAGTGTTCTCGACCTTCCGAACTTCATCGCCTCCTTGCTTCGACTTTCTCCGGACACACCGACCAACCTTTCTGCTGCTGCAAATCTACCAAGTGTTTCTTCCGTCAGGGCGCCTGGTCTTGCTGCTCACTTTGTGCTGCGACGCATTCCCTGGTGCCTTCTCGTCACCCAAGTCTCTGAGGTCAAGGAGCCCCTATTTGGAGAGGCCTTTTCTGATGACCTCTTGGTCACTCTCTAGCACACCACCCCGTTTCATTTCTCTCAGCTCCAATTCTGATTTGGAAGGATCCAGTTTATTGGATTACTAATGACCTATCTTTCCAGGGATTTGCCTGTCTCGCTCCCTGCCATTGAGTCAATGCTGATTTACAGCAACCCCTGTGGGTTTCTGAGCCTGTAATGGGAGTAGAAAGAAAGCCCAGTCTCGGCTGGTGGGTTCAAACTGCCGACCAGCCGAGTCTCAGCCCAATGCATAACCACTGCACCACCGGGGTCCCTGGCGTCGTCACTTCTGTATCCCCAGCGCCTCGTACAGCGCTTGAGAAATGCGAGACCTGCATCTGACAAGGGAGGGATGACTGATTATCCTGCAGAGCCCGGGAAACATGAAAAGGCTGAGATAAAGGAGACGTGGGCAAATGAGATGCTGGAAAAGTCAGGACCCGAGATGGTGAGCCCTGGGCTAGACGAGGGAAACATCTTTCCATGAGAGAGGAGACAGCAGGACCAGGGCAGGGGGGCCATTTGCCATTCAGACGGAAGATGCTGACATAAGGAACGAGAGACTTCGTTTCACCAAGTGAAGTAAGCAACATGAGAGAAGGAAGCTTAGGATGGTGAGGTTATGGGATAATGAGTACTTTTAAACACAGACAGTGGCATGATCTTGGGGCTGGGCAAGTAGTGTGGCAATAAAAATAATATAAAATGTGCAGGGCCTTTGACTCAGAAATCTCACTTCTTGGAAGTCATTTTAAGAGAGAACAATAGTAATAGTAAGAGAATAATAATGACAATAATGATGACAGTAGCTACGATTTACCGAGCACTGATTATATGCCAGACACTATTTTAAACCCTCCATGTCACACATCTTTTGAACCTATTAGCACTTCTCCCTGACATTAAACGGATGAAGAAGCTGAGGCAGTATAGTGTTAAGTAACTTGGTCATATAGTAAGTTTGAAAAGCTGTTTGTGCAAGGATGGTGACCACATTTGCAATGCAGTGAATTGCTGGTGGTGTGGTGGGTTACACACCGGTCTAATAACCACAAGATCAGCAGTTCGAAACCAGCAACTGCTCCACAGGAGACAGATGAGGCTTCGTACTCTTGAAAAATGTTAAGAGTCTCAGAAACACAGAGGAGAAATCCTACTTTGTCCTGTAGGGTGGTTATAAATCTTAAGTGACCCAATGGCAGTGAACTTTTAAACACAGTGCTGTGCCTTTCATAAAATGTCTCAAGAGGAGTGGCCCCCATGGGGGATTGCACAGTTTCGCTAAAGGAAACGTTGCATGGAACCTTACAGGGGTGGGACCACGTGGAGGTTGGAGAGGGACAGGCTCCACCCACTGTTCTTTTTCCTGGTAGGAAGGCCCCTCTCCAATCTCTGGGTGGGCACTCTTTCAGCCTGGCAGGATGACAACACGGAGTAGTAATCCCCACGAGCGTTCTACGAGCTGCTAGATCAAGGTGACAGAAAGCTGTAACCCTCAAGAGAGCAGGGGCTAGGGCCGCCAGGTGAAGCTCCAAGTCCAAGGTCAAAGAGAGCAGCGCATCCTGGGCAGGAGGCTTCCTGAAGGAGTGTGGGCCTCCGCGCAGAGCTGAAGGGCTTTGGGAGAATTGTCTGAACAGGCCCAGAGCAAGAGGTGAGAGCTGAGGGCCAAGGGCTCAAAGAGAGGCCTGCCTGTGGGCATGGTGGTGAAGAAGCTGCCCTGGTGCATCCTGAGTTGCTCCTGTTACTTACAAGCTGGCCCTGTTACTTCCCTAATAAATACCATCATCGTGAGTATGGTTTGTGCGGGCATGTAGGCAATGAAATAAATTATTGGATGCAGCAGAGATGTGAGGCATGCTGTGGATAGATGGATGGCTTGTGTCAGAACTGGTTAAAAAAGGTTGGGGATGGGAGGTATGTCTGACCACCACCTCACAGGGATCAGCTTGGGGCCAATGTTACTCTCCAATTCCCACCCTGCTCACTCTCCAGTGCAAATACAGGATTGCTTGTGATGTCTTACCATTTTCATTTTCACAACACTGAATTTTATTAAAATAAAGAATCAGAAAGTCCTTGAACATTCATCTGTAAAGTAACAAAACAGCAGCACACAAATACAACCTAATACTCGGGCAAACACAGAAAATCATCAGGTATGTTAGAACAGTTGATCAAAAAGGAGATTCATAACCATGTTTCAAGGCGTGTGTGGTGGGGAGCAAGTTACAATACATTAAGGATAATCCTTAATGCATATAAAATGAAACACATATACTCCCTTATCTATGAGCAGTTCTCTGACATATGAGGATGTCATGAGTCAGAATCAACTCAACAGCAGCTATTATTTCCTTGAAAAGTAAACAAACAAAAACACTTTGACTAGTAAGTGGGGGAAATGATATCAAACAATAGAAAGGAATTTTTGTCAGTCTGTTGACAGCAAGACACGTTTGATGCCATTAAGTGCCATGGACTTGGCTCAGGTCCACGGGCACCCCAATCACAACGGATCGAAACGCTGCCTGGTCCTGTGCCTTC